GCGGGAAACTTATCAGCTAACCGAAAGTATGGCAGCACTAGATGTTAAACAAATTTTCCATAACCGTCGTCTAGAGTCCCTTCCAAGCGCCCCACCATCAGATGTGAGTTTACTCTGGAATGAGACCGTCACCTCTTTGTACAGTGCTGTCAGTTTTGCTCGTGGAACAGGACTATATGGCTCACTCAAGCACTGGATATCAGACCGTGGCACTGATTAAATCTCAGAGGAATATCCCAGTAGTTCCCGAACATAATTTGACGCGACAAATTACCAGACGTCCATTGAAAGTGAGCTTTCGAACCGGTCGTGAAGTACGGCGTATACAGAAAACCAAGGAAATTAAAGAGGCCTTGAAGGCCTCGAATAAAGAGTGCCTGGGCCGGTGAGCCGAATACGTCGAGCAACAATTATCGTGTCCATCAGCTGCCACTCATCTAAAGACCACAGTTGAAGTAGAACCCTGGACACTGAACGTTACCCTTTATGGCCTCGGGGATTTATGATTCATATGTTCTCCCAGGCGTCACCGAGCTTCTGGCTCGGTAACCTTTCATCCACAGTGTTCAAAGATGGGCGTAAAACCCTTGGTCTATGCTTGTCTGATCTGGAGATTGTCCGGGAGAGAGTCGGTAATGCTGCTCAGCATCAGAAAAGCAGCTCGAAGTGAGTAGTAATCACAGGATCATCAGCTTAACCCCGGACGTAATGGGACTGCTGGAGTCACTACTGCTTCGGGAAACACTGACTAGATAGCAGTAAACGGGATTACCACCTGATAGATGTTGCATTAACCAAATGTTGACACTCAGTCAGTTAGTAGAAAAATGTTATGCGTATAAAGGACCTACAAGTACTACCTAGATTTCCGAGACGAATTTGACTCGGTTGTCCATTCTTTTCTTCTTGACACGCATGCCCATTAATGAATTTTCTGGGAGATTGTGAAAATGATACGCCCTTTGTATTCTCAGTCTTCTGGACATGTGGGACTATTCAAAGAGCTCTCTGAAAGCTTGCGTACAGAGAGTGGTTTTCTTGGGAGGTGCTCACTCTCTCATTTTCCAGTTATTTTCATGATTAGTGGGATCGTAAGATGAACACTGGAAGGTATTTAAAAACCCAGGTGTTCAAATGGACCTTGATGAAAACCTTGTCGAACTGAAATATGCAGACAACATTGTTTTCGTCTTCGTTCTAGAGAAGGAGGCGCAGGTGTTTTTGGATAAAATGGCCAAAGTCATTCCGCTCACTGGTATGCACTTTTCAACGACAGTATAAGTTCATCCAGTCACTGAATGCGCAACGTACAATCCATGTATAGTCGCTCGACGTTATAGAGCGTTTTATGCGTCTTAGAATTTGTATTAGTTCTGATCGTAGTGTGACATATGGAGCCAGTACACGAATCTCCATGCCTTGGGTCGCGTTTTCTTACTTGATACACCTATGGAGTCAAGCCGATATATCCCTGAGCTTCAAGGGTGTGTGTTTTAGGCTACACTGCGGGTATTTTTTGTTTAATGGCGGTGAGATTTGGCCTGTTAGGGCACAGAAATGAAACATCTTCAGCTGTTCCACAATTGTTGTCTCATGACCACAGGTAGGTGTCAATCAGTGACGATGCAACTAGAAACTGAGTTTTCAGTTGTGCGGCAGGAAATTCCATTGAGGAATAAATCCAGCAGCAGAAGCCGCGTTGTTTAGAACATGTATTGCTCATGCCATACCACCATTTACCACAGGCAGTGCTGTTGGTCGTACACAGTTCGGAGTAGTGGAAACAGAGTTGGCCAATTCCTGACCGGGAAGAAGGGTATGAAAGTGGTTGGAATACGTTCGGCTGATTTCAGTGCTATTCAACTACTAGGGTGGGAACCCGCGATCCCCGCTGTGACTGATTGAAGACGCTGAATGATATGGCGTTCTTGTTGCTATTTGTTTTTCAAATTGTCTGAATGAGCTTCTGGAGCTGTGGGGACCTCGGAATGATGGTATTAAGGTAGTACTATGTTTCTTCCGATTCAAATTTATTTCTCCCCCAACTATAAGGCATTCAAAAAATCATTTTCGAACGGCACCGAAAAAACAGTGTTGAACATTGATATCACGCCCCACAAAGAAATAATGATGATGAGATCACACTCGAGGTATTAAATGTCACTTTGTGTGCAGTCTACCGACACACCAGAAATCATTCATCTGCGAGAAGCCCTGCACAATGGGCCTCATCCCGTGGGCACATCCTGGCCATTCACACAGTTGCTATCCTAAATGTTTCTCTGTGCAGTCAAAATGTTTGCGTTTGCATCCGAACTATACAAATTCAAATGAAGCAACATCTACAACGCAACGGTAAAACACAGACTTGATGAAATGCTGAGAAACACGAAAGTGCGCTACATAGTCAGCTTAAGAAGCATGGTTTACTGTGTATCGATCGCTCCGTAGGCTATGCTCAGTAAGGAGCACCATCGGGGCTAAAAGCCTCTATTCTGAACACCTAGAATAATAGTGGAACATCGGCTAGATTGCGGACGACAGCTGGTAAGACCTGTCACACACCATCGAACTCAGCTTACCACGCTATCCGTGGGATAAACGGATATGGTGCGATAGATTTCTACAGCTCGCTTTAAACACCATTGTATTCACGTAATTCCATGCAGTAAGTCTAGCCGAAAAAAATTTCGACCCATGAAATTGCAACGAATTGCACACAGGAATGAGTCGGACGGAGTAATGAAAGTGTCTTCCTAAAGTCCGGTACAGTGAATAAAATTTTGCCAATCTAAAGGCGGAGCCCATGGTAAAAGTGCCCTCGTAACAAAACAAAGACAAACTTTGGACTGGGAGCATGGCGATATTTTCTTGTTAGTGGTGTGTTAAATCCACTTAGGAATATAAAAACAAATGTGAATTAGAAGCTAAATTGACTATATCAATATGCTGAACTATTTGGCTCATTTTCCACTGTCATCTAAATGTATTGTTCCCCCAAAAATCAGTGTTCGCAAAAACATTTAGTCAATCGGTGCTAATATCCGCTAGAAACTCTTTTCTCTATTGATTTTCTGAATTTGTCAAGTTGACAGCCCATCACACTTGTATTGCTTCTTTAGTTATCCGCTGCTGATGCTCCTAATATAAAACTGCCTCTCTGACTATATACGTCAGTAGTCTGTAGGGGAGGTTGTCTACGTGTTGAAAACTCACTAATGCTTTTAACTCTCCTAAAACAAATCAGGTAGTTCTGGCCTACCATGCCCCGACACCATACTAAACGTATGTGCCATATCGATAAAGACGGAGTCAGCTAAAATAAAAATAAACCTCTTTCTTTGATAGGCTTTTGGTAAAGTTGCTACATAAGAGACGTTATATGTTTTGAATAAAGCGACATTTGATACTCCAGACTGATTGACTGATATAAACTTCATAGATCACAAAACAAGCTGTCAAAATTCGTCTTCCTTAGAGCAAAGCTGAATTTGAAATGCTTTCTTATCTTCAGAAGTTTAGTTTGGAGTTCAAGTGTGAAATGATGTTGAAGATCTGGAGAATAGGATTGCTTGTAGTCCAGCATGGTTTGTGCCGTACCAAGCAAAAATATTTAAGAGGTCATATCATGAACCATTCTCTGTTGAAAACGTTGAGTGAAATATATTATAAATGTGATATCCAGGCCAACTACAGTTGACCTCAAGGTAATAGGAAAATAAAAATTTTTTCACTCTTCGAAAGAATCGAACTTTGAAAGAGCAGCAACGATCTTTGACAATGCGACTTGTTTTCAGCTTCAGCCGTCCTTTTATACGTGAGGATTTCTTAATATTACTGTCAGGATTTTATACTGTTTGTCTCACCAAAAAACTGAAATCTCATCCTCCAAACTTAGGCGTTATGTTGTTGTAGCCATCGTTGAATGAAGGCCTGTAGTAAGCACGTGGCTGACTTTCAGTCATGGAATAATCGAAACAATGGAACATAACTCATCCCAGACTTATTGCTGAAGTGTGTAAATTTAGGTGATTATTCAGTTTCACTTCGATATTCTGTTATTTTGAATGAGTTGCAAATAGTATCCATTTATCCGACAATTTGATTCAACGACTACTTGTTCTAATATGGTTGCCCCTGAATTATTTCTACCCATCTTCAGTCCTAAGTACAAACCTATTAGCACGCAGCAGGAGTCTCAAATTGACTGTAACAGTAATGCTACAGACGCATGCAGGGGCGATATGGGAGTCTGTCTTTTGTCAGGACGATTAACAAATTGGTTTGCTGAACGCGCTTTTTTCATGAAGACGGATTTGGGCTTTAAGGCTTGTTTGCGTGATGGGGTTTAATGTTTTTCCTCGCTCGAGGGGACTGAAGTACTTTGTTTTTTGTTCCTGCGAATAAATATGTCTTCCCGTTTTTTTGCGCAATCGCTAAGGACAGCTATCTTAGTAATCACAAACTTTTATGGATATTAGTTTTGCGCATTTTTACGGGGTAAAGACAGTGTATAACCATCGACCTCGTGCGTGATCACACTTCGGAGGGACCCATGTTTTACTTTTTACTATGTGTGTTTATTTGTCTCATTACCTCCCAAAAAGGCTAATATTTAAAAACGATCCATTTGCACTTTTTGTCTGCTCCGAAAAGGCAAGTTAGAGTGTTTGATCTAGTCAACCTAATTTATTCCGTCGCTTAAATTTTTGCTCCATTTTTTATAAGCTGCTTATAAGTGACGAGTTTCATTAATTTGGTTATTGTGGATCTACCCCTCATATTAACTGTGTCAATCTCACCTGATCAAGAATAAATGAATTTAAATTTTTGACACTGATGTTTTTCGCCTAGTGTCTACGCAGTCTGAGTGTTAGTTGTTTTGAGGAATTTTTGCATTGTTTTCCAATTATTTCGGTTCTGAATGAAACAAGCGATGTAATTTTTTGTGTAATCAGTCTGCATTAATCTTCTATCCGGTTTGATATCCCCCATTTTAGACGAATATTATGCTAATTTTGTCAATGCGCAATTGCCCGATCGGTTTTGCTGGTGTCACATTGAACTACCGGGACAATCGTTTGGGAGTCACGATTGGACGACTGATGCTGAAGACGCTGGGGAAACGGAAGAAACGGGTCAGGGGAAAATTGCTAAAGGGTACTGCCTTCAGCTTTTTTAATTTAACTCAAGTTATGATTAGTAAAAAACTTTAAAATACAATTACTTTGTAAGCTCCGAGTGGAAAATGGATCATTGTTGGTTATTACTTTATCAGTTAAAGGAACTAGTGTTTTAAGGTAGATTCTTGGGCCAGCGCATGATGCAATAGCACTTCATTGTTCAGGATAACTGGAAATCAAATCCGTAGGTACATTACATGTTTTATTTATATTCCATTGATTATCAAGTACTTTTTAACGCGAATATCACAAAACGCACCTTGGAATCTTTACTATATTTTTTAGTTTACATGTGCTCATTCCAATCTGAAATGAGTTTTAAAGTTCAGATAGATATCTCGGTTTTCTTACACCCTATAAACGGCGTTCTGTTGGAGCCAAACTTGCAAATAATAGCATAAATTTAACAAAGCTGTGATAACCAAGGAAGTGTAAAATGAGATCTCACCAACATTTAGCAGAATAGCGAACGAGCGACCACTCAGCAGAAGTTTGAATTTACATTCGAAGTTCACTGAACATTCCCCCTCATGTCTGTGGAACCCATTCTCGTATCGACCTATGGATTAGTCTTCTGAATTTTTGTAAAACTAGCAAGCACGACATTGGCCTCTAAACACCTGTGACTAATTTTGTGTTCTCTTTGCATTTACCAGACCATATCCTACAATGCAGGGACTTGCAGCTGGTGTTGGCCAAGTGCTTGAAACATTGGAGTAAGTTTCGTTCCGGTGCATGTTAGGCGTCAGATGTATCCTTGAATAGCAGATATGATTCTGGCTAAATAATTGCCATGGTCACATAAGTTGAAAATAAATTGCGTTTGGTGGACGCCATCGTGGTTTTTTATATCTACTGAATTCCGATTTTTTTTCAATTTCCTTCTAGCACAGATTGTCTATTTGAGAAACGTGGAAGGGCCCATTCATTCTCTAATCACTTGTGAGCATTTCTGGTAACTTTATTCTATAGCTCACCTGTTTGCTGTCACCAAAATATTGGTCATTGATGCAGCCACCAGACGAAAACCGCTCCCGGATTGAAAAATGGAAACGCCATGCGCTCAGAAAAAGCTAGTCACACTGGTTATCAACCTTTCTTGGCCAAACGTGGCCGGTTCAAAACTCTCTTAGCTCCGTGGTGTGCCCTCTGCTAATTGTCTCTAATATAGTTAAAGCATCCCTACAGTAATTCCTTGGTTTTGAGCATGAGCTGGCTTCACTGTGATAATAAAAGATTTATCAAAAACAACCGCAGGATGTTTGTAAACGATGATGTTGTTTATGTGCAGCGCAATTACCGATGTAACGAAAAAATGCACTTCATCAGGAAGCACTTAGTGCTGTAGAATTAGGCGTGATTTCACCTTAGCGCATACGGTCCCTGCTAAACTTTCAATTGGCATTCTTTCGGGGAAAGCGTATTTGTATAGAATTGCAAGGATGCATATTGATCCTCAGAAAAAATGGTCAAAAACGAATCGCTTTCGACGCACCAGCTGTTTGGTCCAGTTCTGTGACCTTGGTAGAGAGTGCCTCAGTGGTTAGATACACACCATCTGCGGAAATGATTTAATTTTTGTTAAACAGCTGATCAGTCGTGCACGGTTCCAGCATTGATATATACTGTGGTTGGCATAGTTTTTCATGCCTATATAAACTGCGTGCTTTACGTAAAACTCATCATGTTGTGTGTACCTTGTGGCAGTTGACACATCCTCTGAGATCTGATTGACAGATCGGCATAATATGTGCCAGACGAACAATGAACGAGGAAATGCAATAACTGCCAAAATTATGTAGCGGAGTTTACTTTAAAGTATTGAAAATGCTTTTGTATTTCTTTGACAATAAGTGAATTAATGTTATAATAGAGTAACAGTTGTCGCCTTGGATGTGTCTGCCTAAAAGGAATCTATTTGAAGTGGACGGGGTGTAAAATTTAATCACTATTTGTTATTTGCTATTAATTATACCCCTTGGTTTATGTGATTTAATGTGGCTGAGATTCTACTGCCTTTTGCAGTTTTCATTCATCCGTTAACACTAAAAATAAGGCATAATATTCGTGCTGTTGCAAGCTGTGGATTGTTTCAAGAAAAATGAATGATCACACGTCAGTTAGGCTGATAGACTTACGCGGATATCTAGTGTTGAGTGTTAGCAGTGTATAATTCAGGAAGGCTTCTATGGTGCTAATGTTTATGTGCGAATATAAAAATGGGATATGCTTTGCTCGTGGGCCCATTTACCCGATCAAATCACCAAAAACAACAAACCGATGAAACCCATCGTAGTCACTAGCGTTTTGGCATTATTTCACACCGTGTGCAACTTGCATGCCACCTCAAGATCCTGTTGCAAAAGTTATCGGTTGGTTGCCCAAGCTTTCACACGATACATCCCTCCAGATATGATGAGACTGTTGATGTGCTGCCCACGGATTTACATTAATCACCCTAAGCCAGTCAAATGAGACCAGACGTGCGTTTGTCTGCTTTGCATATTTTTTTTGCATTCCATACTTGGGAAGACTAGGTATTTTTTGAAATAAGCTAGGGTGAATTGTGATCTGTCACTTACTAAGAATATGTAAAGTAGCGACACAAAGATACCTAGGCGAATTAATTTCCGGTGTGCTCCAAATTAAAGTAAACCGAACTGTCCTCGATATATTCACCAAATGATACTAATGTGAATTTTTTTCGTATATGTTTAGAATCCAACAAGCCGTGCTCTTTGGTGAAGGAGCTGGAGCGAATCTTCTTGCTCGCGTTGCAGTAAGTCCACGTCGGTTTCCAACACTCAGAGTCCATGGTTGTCAACAATATTCAGGGCCATCAAAAGTAATGGTTCTTGTACTCATACGCCGTTTCTGTCCATTTGAAACAATTTCAGGACCCCCTTCTCTCATGAACTCGCAGAAGAATGCGCGTTAATAACCTGAAAGGTTTTGTGCACTACTCCGGCGTTACTACCAGATCGCGACTTTAAGTTTGCTGCCAAGAAGTAGACTTATTCTCATTTATCCCGTCTAGATTTGATTGTTCCGCTGATAAATGGAGTTTTCAGTTCTAACAACAGACGCTTTGAATCTGTGATTTTCGGAATCAAATTGCGTACAAAATTTCTGGATTCGCTCATTAGATATCAGTAGAACTACATCTCAACGAACCTGTCGTTCAAAAAAGTGAACAAGATGTTTATCAACCGATAACTTGAATAACCACGGATGGTGTGCTTCAGCTGCCGCCAGATTTGCACCAGTCGACAACTTTAATTACTCTTGGAAGTAAAAGGGCTTTAGCTTCACCTGAAAGTAAAATATGCCAAATAAACTGTCACATTAAAGTCTATTCCAAGGGGACTGTGGATACCCAAGGTTGGTCAATGGTCTCAAACCTTCATAGTAGCAGGTCATTTCTGGGGTTTTGAGAACTTACACGTTTTGGGAAAACATTTTTTATATTTTAAAAACTTATGCGTTGGTAACTGACTGCATAATTAGTACGAAACTTGGGTTCTGTGCAGCTATTTTGTCACGCACGTTTTCAAGCCATCGTCGGTAAGGTCCATGCAGTCCCCCATTTGAATGAACCGTTAAAAATTAATTAATGTCACCAAATACCCCATATTGCAATGGTATTTGCTGCACCACTTGCATCCTCTTTGTAATTTGATTAAATAGGAACATTTACACAAAATTTGCTCTTAGATAAGTGAAACTTGTTGTTGACACTGATTTCGGTACCATTGTTAGCCATGAAGTTTTTAATGACAGTGATGACATTGAGGCTCCGAATGACAAGGCGTTGCACCCGATTATGTTGTGTGCCATTGTGACAAACAAGTATTGCTCTTGAAATTGGAGTGTCAGAAGTTTTCGCGGACAATATTTTGTCACATTCAAATTTATTTCCCTGATACACGGTCACCATATTGAAATGTCCTACCTGAGTTTTGTGTTAAAAAACGATATTTTTACACCGCTCTCTCAGTAACATCCAAACACGTATGTATTTGAGAAGTATATTGATCCGAATAGATTAGAAAACAGCATTGCGGGGCACGGAAGCATATCAGTGTTTCTTCCAGATGGTATGATGTTACTCTTTTTTTCCGGGATTGCGAATACTTCGTGAGAGACTTCGTAGAACGGAACAAACAACCTATTTGATATAGGATATACAAGCATTCTATCCGTGGGAAAGCAAGCGCGTTCCTTATTCAGTGTTCGGATGGGACACAAATAGGGATTTTTTCCATTGATTAACCACTAATAACGCTAATGTCAGCAAATTCGTGCGAGACATAGAGCGAATACCGTGAATTAAATATAGCAAGTAGTTAGTTGAAAGCAGATTCATGTAAACAGCAGGAGTTGATTCAAGCCAAACATTGGAAAAAGCCTGGTAATTCATCTTCAGACAACACAGGCATATAAATGATCAAAGTTGCATGTAAAAATCGCTTTAAGTAAGCATAAGTAGTAGTTTAGGATCGAGACATTTTTGAAAACTTAATCCATAACTACTTTGTCTTTTTATAGTATGTAACGTTTTTTGTATAATAGCAAAGTAAAAGTATCCGAAGGCATAGCAAAATTTAAACTTTGCTACTCTAACCGCAGGGTCGCCAGATTTTTATCCACCACACCTGATTAAGCTAATGAGTGCCCACTTATTTACTTGGGGCCGCAAAATCAATAGCAGTCCCTAAGATTTGCGATACGGTAGATTATTTTTCCTGCTGGACTTAGCTTAACCTCAGTTGGACCCATTGCTAGTGGTGCATATAAGCTGAACTAATCGAAATATAGTAGAATTGCCCAGCTTCAGTATCCAGTAGATGAAGAAGTTGAAATTACTCTATGGTAGAATTTTATGGTTATGTCGTGGGGAATATTTACGGGAATCGCTACGTTTAATATGTCCAGTTTTCGCGTATTAAATTGCACACCAAAGACGTTCCTCGAACCTGGTTCCAAAGTTCAGCCTAAATACGTTATGAACTTACCGAAATCCATATCTGTTTTAAGGGTAGGAGTAGCAGGGAAAACGCTAGTATCTTACGGATTTTGCAGTTCACCCGATTTTTTAAATTCCTCAGCTTCCATTCATCAACTTTTATTTGGTCATCTACATTGGTTCGTTAAAATTGCACCTGTTGCTTAATTGGGGCTTACAATCCCCTAAAAGTTGAAATTTTCAGTGATAGTATCTTGATTTGGTGAAAGTATCTTTGTGGGCCTAAAGTAACGGTAGATGTTCGGAAATGAAGTTTGAATTGCCCGTCCCCGAGCCGAAGCGCAGGCCCTTAGGCCATACTTATGGCAAATGGCGTCGACTCTGTTCAACTTATAAGGCATGGTTATGTGGGGTTTCGAACCATTCAGCCAGTCTTTACTGGTATGAAGATCAATTAGACAACAGCAGGTTATCCTAATGATTGGCATATTCTCTTGCCAATCCTTCGAGATCTGGTGGTGAAGCCCATAGACCAATGTGAGCATTATTTTGCAGGCCTGTGGTAGATGAACATTCACTTCCCAATTAATGGTTAAAATTTCAACCATTTTACAGAGATCTTAGTTTCAGTGACGGCAAAGTTCTTTACGATGTCACCTGAGTGTTTGATGTATGGTATAAACAACAAAGTTGCTTAATATAGACCCGCAGGAAAACCAAATATGGCAAGTGGAAAGCGAGGATAAAACCTGCGAAACCGGCGTTATTTCAGCCTACATTTGGTCAGGCTTTTGATCGGCGTCTACTCAAATGACAAAACATCCTAATCAGATGCGCACATTTTTTGGATGCGAAAAGCCAAGGGACTGAAAATAACCATTAATCGCAGTTGTCTTTACTCAGAATGGAAATCCGAACGCTCTGTGGTTCAGTGTTAACCTCAATGTCACCAGGTTTACCTATCTCACCAATACAGCAGATGACGAAATAAATGGGAGTCTGGGTGCAACATATCTTATCCATCGGAATAATCCACAGCGGTCTGATAGAAATGGGTCGACTGCTATTTTATCCTCTACTGTGGGTACTACTGTAGGTTTCACAGCATGAAATTGCTTCTGATAAGTTGGAAGGCCAAGAATCCACACGTATTCTGGTGTGCAGTATTTCTTTCTAAAAGCAAAGCAGCAGCATCAGAGACATAGATAGAAATGGGTCGACTGCTATTTTATCCTCTACTGTGGGTACTACTGTAGGTTTCACAGCATGAAATTGCTTCTGATAAGTTGGAAGGCCAAGAATCCACACGTATTCTGGTGTGCAGTATTTCTTTCTAAAAGCAAAGCAGCAGCATCAAGAGACATAGGAATATTTTCGGGGAGATTCCATATCAAAGGTTTATTTTTCATGGGAAATCACTGCAGACAATATTGTAAGTGGCTATAAAAAACACACGATAAAAGCCTACATGTGAGTTCAAATATGTGTTGTGCATAATACGAATCCCATTAACTCGCAGCTATTACCCCATTCTATGTCTGTTTTTGTGATTCCCAGTAAAAGGAATTGAGTGCTTGTGTTATTCGTATTCCGATGTTCATCAGAATTCGGGTCACGTATTCGTCAAAAAACACTTTCTCACCGTTGATGCGAAGTATTTACAATACATCATTAGATAGTCTGGTAGCAAATTAGAGGGCACCTCAAGGGAGATTCATGACGTCGGTCGAAGTTGTGTCAGTCCAAAGACCAGATATCAAAAAAATAGTTCAACGTAAAACATAAAACATGATTAAGCAATGCTTATAAATGTATCTACAGAATGGCAAGTAGCCAATTGGGAACTTGCAAATGTCTGCACACACGAGACGGCCAGGTTTGGGGCACAGTGTGCTAAATTGTTATGAAGAGCGGAATTCTGATCTCCCAATGACTCTAGCAGAGACAAACCGGCAAGAATGTTGCTGATTAGATAAAATTGTCCATAGACTTCCAACTAAATAATAATAAAACGGAATAATATGGAACTCACGCCGGATGCTGCATCGTTTTCATTGGTCTGGAACAATATGTCTTATAATTATATTATTTCTAACTGAAAGCATATCCTATGTCTCGTTATCAGAAGATACGATAAAATGGACCCTAATATTGGCCTCAAAGAACCAGAAGAAACAATTATACAGGCAACCTCATTATTGGTTATACATTTTAAGCCGGTTATTTCCGTTTGAGAAGGAATGGAGCAACTCCGGGACTAACTTGGTGTTACCACTCAGTGTCGTCTTTGTACAAATTAAGTGGAACTAATGTAAGGTGCACTGTGAAACACAGTTATGCGCAGATTTGGTTGTTTAATACGCATGAGTGTGCTAAACACAGGCCTCTTGCAATCGCTTCTTGATGTTCTCTCCAAAAGTTGTTGTTTGTTGCTTTGCTACAAAATGTCATTTCACGAAACACTTGAAACCCCTTCAAAAAATTCTGTCAACGGTTTGAACAATTAGTTGGTTGCACGAAGCACCAAACCCATTATCAAGTGCTGCTACAGAGACAAGCTATGGGTCATTGCCAGCAGACGTTTTTCTCATCTGCGGTCATTGCTTGTGAACCATCTACAGCTGTAGTCAGTCTGGTTCCCACGACCGAATTTCATTGCTAGAGAATGTGGTCCATGTCCCGTTAAGGGAAACTTTAAATTGAAAACACTTCATGACTTTGTATTAGGGTACTGTTATTCAGCTGATATACTGCTGTACTCATAAGATCTAACGAATGTTTGAACGTATTAGGATCCATAAAGAAATCTACTCAAAGGTTGCTAAAAGCATTAAACCACAAACGAACGGTTTTTGTTTTTCTTGAGGCTTATCTGGTTTAACGGAGTTCCCCAGTTTCCGTCAAACATATGTTCTACTTGAACCCACATGGCCCTAGTTTTGAACCACATCTCTTTAATGCCTGTTTATTATCGCGAACCCCGTTCGTGATAGCCAATTGATAGCATAGTGCGCTTGGCTAAATCATGATAAGTCAGTGCACGTGCGAACCGGCTGGTCTGTTGACCACCGTTGCGTACGTGCGAGTCAAAAAGAGTGATACTAAGGTTATTCTATTGGCTGTTATGTAATCCTGTTACGTTTGGAACTGTTTCACCTAATAGTCCCAAATTCAGCAAATACATTTATTTGCATACTTTTCAAACCTGGCGGAAGCTCCAACTAATGATTCTCTTCGACCTAATGCGCTATACAAACATCTCATATTTTACTTAGAACGATGTTCAGTAATTTGCAGTAATTTTCACATGAACAACTGTTCACAAGATTGTCGAAAGTTCTTCAGTATTTCGTAACCGGTAAAAGATCAAGTAGGCGCACCTCCCATTTCTGCTAATCAAAATACACTGCAACATCCAGTACCATTTGAGACCTGAAGCGAATTTTTTTATGCATATGAGGCTGTCAAACATCAGAGGGGTGGGATTCAGCTGTAATTCAGGTGGGTCTCCGTGAAAGCCCCATTGACCAAATTGGCCAATTTGTATAGAGTTGACGCCCCGTCAAACAGGGCTACAACGGGTTTAAATAGATGTAGGCACAGATTTAGAATGTCATCCTGGACGGTGCTTATCACTAACAATTGTTTTTGTCTGCGGGATCATCTGACGTAGCTCTACTAGTGTGAACTGAGAGCTTTGGAAATTGCGAGTTTGAGCTGAATGGAATTTCAGTTTTTGGTGCCGTTGTTGGTGTACCAGATAACAATTCGGTAGATGTCGGTGAATTGAACTTATCCTTCAACATCATCTCGATCCGTTAAAAATTCGGAACATCTCTCACCGACGGAAAATTACTCTGGATATCCAGTTTGTCCTAAAGGGCTGCACCATAAGTATTTCGGATACACAGCTTGACTCAAAATAGTACGTTCAATGTCGAAGTATTTGTCAAAAGAAGTAAACTAGTTCCTCAGATAAACTAAGATAACCTTAAAGGCCAAAAAGATCATTGATGAATTTGTTGTTGGAAGTTACACGAAATTTCTAAGACCTTGTTGGTATTGTTTCAATGAATAACCATGTTTTTGCTGATTTTCCCACATTATCGGCGATTGGAAACTTGGAAGGTACATTATTTCAGTTTGGTAATCCCACACTTTTGTGGGGTTTACCCTCGAGATATAGATGTGATAGTTATTCGTACATTTCAAATTGTCTCCTGGTTTGTACGTGCATTATGCAAAGTGCTTTAGTAAATCCGGCCACAATTTTGGATAGGACATATTCAAGTAATCAAGGAAAAGATGCGTAAATATCAAACTGATTTATTTTGATTCGGCCAAATGTTATTTTCTAGATATTATACGATTCCCGAGTTTTGGGGGCGCTGTTTATTCATGGCCGGTGTTCACAATCTGGACCGCTGAAGCTACTTCGGGCCAAGGTGAGCAAAATTATATAGCTACATTCAAATTGTACTTTAGATATTTTTGCTTCTAGTTAAACATATATATCCTGTGGAAAACGAGGATCTATCATGTACGTTTATGTTCTAAATTTCTCGGGCAGAAGAAACGACAACTGCTGCAAATACTATTACAACATTACCTTTCAAGTAAAATCATCAGCAAAATTCCCAGAATCCATAAGTAACTACGGTGCTTAATCAACACAAAACACTATTAAAAGCTGTCGCACACCCACCATTCAACCCTAAAATGCAATGGTGTTTAAAAGTTATGTCAAAAAAAATTTCGAAGAGAAATTACAGTGGTGGTGGTGTTTGTATATCCTTGAATTCTTTGGAACGAATTTACTTAAGTTTACTGCTATTCGTTGTCACCAACAATAAGATTAAAACATTTCTGGAAGGCACCTGCTCAAACCAGAAATGAATTAAAACATACTTACTACCAAGCTCGGTTGAGTTTTGTATTTGAAGGGCTTTTCAACCGTCCACGACATGAATATCTGCCAGCAAATGACCCAACATTATTCGGTTCCATATTGCGGTGCATTGCGAGGGTTTGATTTTTGTAAACCTTTAACCAATGTCGGTATAGGGTGAACAGTAAAGACTAATCTGCCATGCATTAGTCGCAAATCCCTCCTATTATGTTTTAAGTGCGGCGAAGCATTATATAGAATCAGATTATCAAAATATCCAACACCTACTACTCCCAGACAATAAATCAGAACTGCTTAGCATCCAAAGGCTAGTAATAGTTGAAGTAGTGATTAATTTCCGCCGTCATAAAGTGAAGTTTCTCCACCGTTTTTTCTAGTAACCCCAGTTAAACTGGGTACGTACTATTGCTGCTGCCTTAATAATTTCCTTACTGATGCATATGGAGACACCAGCGCGTTACGCACCTACCGAGATGAATCAGATGATGGTTGAGGATGGACCAAGAACCTCAAAAAAGGCTGTTTTATAAAGGTGATCGAAGGAACATATGATAAATCCAGTCTCACCATTGAGTTTGAAGAAATATCAGTGGACGCATGGCTGACAAAAAATTGATGTTCTTGGTCCATCGGTATCCATTTTATGCGCTTTTTAAACCAAAAGTAGCGGCCCTTTAGGTGGCATAATGTTCTTCCGAAGTCAAGGAAATCACGAATGTCGGTGTCTCTAAACAGTTTTCTTCGAACTAATGTTGAGCTGTTTTCTGAATTGCACATTCCGTGATGAGACGGAGCGCTGCTACATCAGTGAGGTATATGAGCGCATTGCAACAAACGTCAGGTTTGCCAAATACAGCTGGACTTGCTTTTAGTGCTTTTTAAAACCAGCTGCAGTCAGGTAATTGATAAGCATTGGAGTTCTGGGAAAAGTAGTGACACCCAATCAGGGCACAAATTTGGGATCCGTCACCATTTTGGATAAGATTGTTTAGAGATCCCAGGATTTCTTGTCTGATATGCATTCAAGGCCAGAGAATCCATCAATAATTCAGTAACTAACACAAAACTTACGCTCACACAGAAACCTGTGGGACTATAAGGATCGGATTGACGACAAAAAACCAAAAGATAGCTGAACGTATTTCGCACAGCAAACAGAAGATCGTGTTATATTCAGTATATAACATTCTCAGCACCACTTTTTATTGATCTGCGAAGAAGTTGGCTCCTAAATTGGAAAAATCAGAAAAAGAAACACCGTCACAAGATTTGCTCAGCATTGTCATTGAAAACTGACTAGTAGTTTTTATTCTATTTGAGAATACTGAAGCACAAATGAAATGTGTTTTTGCTTTCCGATACACTGAATGGCGAACCGTGGGGTTCATGCAATTCGAGTACCTTTCCGCAAAACTTTAATTTCTATGTACGCATGCTATAGCTTTTCCATAAAACTCCCTTTGGTCAATTGAATTTTCGGTTTCAGATGCGCAGTTGGAAGAGTAGTCACCTTGAGCCAGCCACGGAACGATATTTGCTGGAACACCGATTTAGCACAGTAAGTATCTACTGCAAAATTTTGTGGTGCACATCACAACATCCTAGGAGAGACATCAATATTACAAGTTTCACGGACTAGAATGCATAGTCATGCTTTAATTTGCTTATCAAATAATTATCTTTCATTTTGTGCCCCGTTGCATTGTAAACTATTGTGAGCAATGCAAAATGTAAGCCAAAATAATGTGTAGTTCAAAAAGGTAAAAATCCCTAAAAGCTAACGAAATGATGTAAACGATTTTTCTACTAGATGAGCAAACGTGTGTATAAATATTTCTTTTCACCCGCTTCAGGTTTCGGACTCAAATCTTATGGAGCCACTAAAATCCGTATTTTTACAATACAAGGAAAACCTGAACACCAAGGTGAACGCCAAAAATTTAAACTACTTGACATATTCATATGCGCAGTAAGTCAAGCCTCGGGAAATCTATTGATAAAATTTGATTTCTCTGGCACAAGTAATTTGAGTATATTCTGTTTATAGTTAGATGTCTATTTTTGGATTACAAAAGTTTTCGCTTAATACACAACACATAAAAAGATTTCACAAAAATTCTTCACAAGCATGCTTTCACTCTTGCGTTGTTTGCACACTATCATATAAGCTTAGCAGCAACACTACAATAGTATAGAAAAGGTTCAGACCACCATGTGGCTCAAGGAAGATTTCCATCAAGCTTTTAATTTACACATTACAAAACGGAACATGATAGATGCATTTACTCTAATCTTGTGGGGAAACACCTCCATCTTTTCTGGTGCAATTATTCTCGTGAGTCCACTCCGAAAAATGTGGAAAGCACCGGACCCATTTTGCTATATTATTAGCGCTCATCAGGAGTGCACAGCCCTTGCCATATCTGAATTTGATTTCCGGAAGTCAAAGAAACGATGTAGTCGGGTTACCACTGGTCCTAGAAAGCAAGATGACCACACCAGGATGCACATTCACAACAGACAAAATATGCACGTTTTATTGATGTGAATCATCTCCCAAAATAGAACGAGAACGGTTCATACAAAAAATTGGCAACCACATACAACCAAAAATCTTACTCAATGATCGCATTCGTCAACGGTGGTATTCCGTTTTTATTTTCCTTCTACGTTCAAAAATGGTAAGAGAGAACAATGTAAGTGTGAGCATTGTAAAAAATCTTCCTAAAGTTCTGCAGAGGTATCTATTCACCAATGGCTGAAATCCAGAGATCCCTTTCAACCGACTCTTCGGAATGAAACGGTTTTGGCAAGTGGTTTACACAGTGAAAGTCTTATCGACAAAACGAATTACTGATTGTCACTGAACAGGCGCGCTGATTTTATAGAAACAATATCGCGTTTGTCTTATTGACTTGGTCTAGATTGTTGAAACAAAATTACTGCATTCGATTAAAGAGAAAAGGTTGCTTTAAATGTCACCGCACATAATATAGCAAGTTTCTATTTTAGCCGTATCTATTGCACCTCAAGAAACACAGGTTTTTAATAAGTCTGTGCTATTTCCTATAAAAGTAAACACCCGTTATTTTCACAGTTCACTCCAATCTTACTGAGGCCACCACAGTCCGGTAGTCCAATTTAGGTGTAGAGTCTTCGCACTGTAGACGCTTCGCTTTTTCCTGCAGTAGAATAACGTAACCAGTTATAAGAAAAATAATTTATTATAGCCGAAAAACCGCCAGCATATAGTGCCAAGTCAGAGGTTAGTATTTGCACATTCACTGGAATTATTTTCCAGTAATATATTTAGTGCATCCCGAAACATACTGGACGTCGGATAAATCGTTTAAGAAGTAAAAGCTAGCTTATGGTAGCAAGCGCTTTCTCGGGTGCATAGAATGCTGCTTAAGGGGTTAGAGCGCACGGTAATCAGATTTAGTAGACTGTTTGAGACAGATCAGTGAGGCAAAATATGTGATCACATAAGTTTTAGTAGTGAACCTGTGTAACACCAGTTGTCTAATTATAACCAACAGTATCTACTGTGAATATTCCAACTATTCTTCAGGTGAACCTATTGAAGTGCCCTCCGAAATTGTTTGAATTAATTTAATAACTCGCTTGTTATCATTAAATCAAGAATTTGCCACTTTCCGCGCAGTTCACGTGAGAATGTCCGCACAAGGAGGACAACCGGAGATGATTTAATAAAAACTGATTCATTTGAAACACCCCATGGTTTTGGCTACCGTGTAATGTTCATCCTAGAAAATAAAAAAGTGAGCTCTTGCAGATAATTTAAGTTTTATATCTCTCCGGTGCTGGTGTGAACTCTAGAAAGATTTTCATAGAATTTACTGTCAGAAATTCTGAAACGTTTACTTCTGAGAAAATTTCGCATTGTCTTTGATGTACTCTGGGTTGACATTCGTGCTTTCGTTCAGCCAAGGTGAGTTGAGTGTCTTCAAAAATTTTCGAACGGGATAATGTGATTCTGATAAATTTCATTGATTATTTCAGCCGAACTAGTTTGGCGGACACAATCCACAATTTAAAGTAAGTAGACTAGATCAGTTTTTGTGGCGATGATTTAACCACTTTTTATTTAATTCACGCGAAAGTATCTCACTTAGCATTCAATCAAGGGTTTTAACTTAGTTTTAGGTTGTTTTATTGCGGTGTATGAAAGAATGGTAAGCTACAGTACACAAAGATAGTCATATAGACGAAATTGCTTTATCCAACGATCGTTACTGCATGAATCTGTCAAAATTGTGACTCTGGGTAGCGAATGCTCTTGTGAACGTTCATCGTGAACTTATATGTTTTCCATGCTGTTCAGCGCACTTCTTATCTCTGATTCCAGGTGCCCAGTGCTGCTCATTACGGGAACAAAATCAGACCATCGCTCCGGCGTACGACACATGTATGAAACTATGAACAAGATTCACAAAACTGGTGGTCACTCAAGGACAACTGTGGAGATGGTCGAGATCGAGGACTCGTTAAGTCCTTTGGTTGATCGGGTTAGTTACACCATTCAGATGTATGTGGCAACACACGCAATGCAGCTTACTAACTTTCTCACATGCCGATTCAGTGGTCTCAAAACAGTGTGCAAAACAGGCAATTAAGCTGACAGAAAAATACTTCTCCAAAATTGAATTCACTTTTAGTTCAAGCAGAACTTTTTGCATGGATTTTTTGCATAGATCTGCATGGAACTCGCATGTAGTGTGTGAATAATCATGGAATATCTTATACGCGTGAGAAAGTTTTTTTGCAGTTTGGGACTGGTGCAGCAGTAACCATGTTCCTAGCGCCTTGCAGTCCAGATCAAAGCAAACAGCTTCCGGGATTGCGCAACATATCGGTTTTTTAATTCTCCTTGATTCGCTTTTCTGGCGCGATGTTGTAAGCGTGAGAAAGCACGTTTACTATTGCCAGTTTTACTGTTGAAGCACTTGTCCGTGGGCATGATCGGAATTTGCAGACGGTGATAATGAAGTAAATGTGCGTGAGTATGGACATACGTAACCTGAATGAGACAAGCAAAGAACAAGTAGATTCAGTAATTTGCATAGAAAATATTGTAAGTATTATGCTTTAATTTAATTTGTTCAGTCGCTTACTCCCTTCATACAAGAGGAATTTTCTAAGTAGCACTTAATTTGAATGATAGCCAGATGCCAGAATGTCATTTGTCTTAAAATTCGCCTAATTTTATCCGAAACACTTCACGTGATTGGGATCGCTGTTAACATTTCACCTATGGCAACAGTCAAGTTTACGCGGTTCAATTACAAACATTTGGTTCTCGATTATATCAAGTTTTTTTTAGCTATGTACTTCTAGTTAATATTGATGAAATGCAATCACTTGCTAAGTTTGGCGCGAGTTTAGAGGACGGTGGTGTATGTGGTTTGTATTCTTAGGCCTCATATCTCTGTAGTTCAGAGTAAAGAGTTGTAGATTACGCGACAGAAAATTAGAGTAGCAGATGCCAAATGTTGTTCAAACGATATATGCAAACTGTCATGTCATCAAAGGTAAACGTTTGCAAAATCCTGGCTATTCAGATTCACGAGTTGCCTGGTCACATTCGGTAATCATTCAAGCTGAGAGAAATGGAATTTAACAAACATGTACACTTGCGCCTTGCTCAGTTGTACTTCACTACTTCCTTGTGACATTAGGTTCAGCTGGGTGTGTGTTTGGATAATTAGAATTAAGGGTATATTACAGACATTGGTTTTCATAGGGCTTATGAAAGCTAAAAGCAGATTATGGTGCAAATCATCGTGAAATTTACCTCAATAGCGTTTCAGAATTTGGCACGTTTTTATGCAGTGGTCTGACATATGCCAAACGAGGTTTGCCTCAAGGTCAAAATGGGGAAGCTAAAATATCTTCAACGTTTTATAATATTTTACCTTATTTTAGCTCTTCTGACACAATCAGAAGTTACGTCGTTTGATATCTCAAAGTGTCGTCTAAAAGAGTAAAACATGCGATTTTAATTATTTTACTTTCACAACATAATTAAATTATACGTACAACTTAACAAGACAACAGGTAATAAAATTGCTTGCAAGTTTACACAGTAATTGTTATCGTGATATATGCACGTACTACTACAGTACTTCGATCATGCGAAAATTGGAACATGGGGCTTGAGTTGGAGCCAAAATACGCATCTAGTTTTAATTTTGATCTTTGCTCTTTTAGAACAGAAACAAAATTCACAAAAATTCAGATGCACTGAATAAGTTCACTTGAAAATTAGTTTGAGTCGTGACGCTTATGAATGGTTGAAGGACACAAACGCCTTTTACGGGCATGAGTGCGGTGCTAAATCCATGTGCTTTCAGGCGGTTGTCAGAAAATTCATTTGGTAGAAGCATGATAAAATAAGTTTGCCGACAGAATGCGTCTTAAAAGTTCGACAAGAAATATTTCACTCCGACAGGAAGCAGATTTATTTATGATCAAACACAACGCACATTACAAGCACCAACCGGCAAGTCCGAATGACACTTTCAGCACAGGTTTAAGTATAGCTATGATTGCTTTGTGAACCACGGATGAGCTTAGTACGCTGATGTAATATAGTGCAAAAGGTAGGTCAAATATTTCGAATATGCATTAAAGTGTCACATGCCGCCGAGTCAAGATACCGGAGAGCATGAACCTTTCTGAGCGGCTATATACTGAAGAGGGAAGATCAGGTTTTAAACGTTATGAGTGAAATTCGGAGGTTCAACCGCGTGAGGTGTATTACGCTGGCATGGCAGCACCAAAACTGTTTATCGTTCAAAGAGTGGCTAGGAGCGAACATACCAGCCGATTTTCTACAGCCATCATCCTCAAATCTATCAAATGTTTGTGCTCTCGTTTAATCCCACATTTGATAACGGAAATAAGATATTTCGGGTATTTTATTTGAACTTTAAAAATGTTGAGCTTTTAGGTTTAGTACTAAACCACAAATGAACTTTACGTTACGCCACATAATAATAATAGTGTACTCATCACGGATATACAAGCTTCCGCCAGTTAAAGTAATGCAGGTTCCCTAATGAAGTATATCTAAGCTGGCGGTGTAACAATGCCACAGACTACTCATTCCTGTCACCAGCTGCTCGATTCCAAAGATTATTTTGGAGCTGAGCTTAAGCTCGGGGATCAAACCGTCAGAATATCTGGATGGTTAACAGTTTTTGGACTCTATAGTAAGTGAAAACATTATGCATTTTGAAAACCAAGGATAGTTTCATCTTAGCTGGTCCGCGTCACTACTGAGCCTGAAAAAGAGTAAGAAAATGTGAATGAAGAGTCGACGTTTGCAACAGAAATCTTAATTGCGAACAACACAACGTGGTGTTGACGGTTTCAACTTTCGATAAAAAACAGCCAAAAGGCCACTAAGTCTTCAGTGATTTCATACAAAACTAATTGCTACACACAAATCCAAAGTCAACACAGTGCAAACAAAACAGGCGGTAAATAGATGTAGAAAACATTGTTTACTTTTTACGGTGGCAATATTTGTAAATTTTTACTCAGTGTAAACCCGATCTAGCCAGAAGCTGTTCTTTGTTAATTGGGTGTTTCCCCTCTAGGTTTAGCTCGTAACATTGCCACTGAACCTGTATACTGCTGTTGTATGAGCTGCCCTACTCTTAAGGGAACAGAAAAGTATCTCGAACATATTTTTTGATTTCACAATAAAAACGCACAAGGAATTTTTCAAAAATGTTGATAAGTTTCCAAATCGACGGTTTGCTTGTTGGTGATCTGTTGACCATAGCTCTTGCTGCATTAAGCTAACTAATGCGCAGTGAGGAACTTAAAAGCCTGGATGGCAAAGAACTTGTTCATTTGAGTTGTTTTACATCTAAACGAGTTGGAAACACTGCTTGGCCCATTTATATAACAGGTAAGCGTCCGTGGACTGGAACGTTTGCAGATATTGTTTGCATATGAATATGGAACTGTGTATCATTGAGATTAATGAATATAATGATTCTAATCGCATATATTGTCAGCATACTTGCCATCACGTCTTTGTGATTCGACTGTTCTTGCTTTTCATTTGGTTTTGACCTGAATTTGAGTATTTTGCTTCATGTTCGATGAGTTTTTTATTAAGCAATCTAGAGCAAATTAATTATTTTACCAGTGTGGCATTGAAAAATTCATTCACTGTAGAATATTTTTGTTTTTAGTGACTCACAAACTTCACAGAAGAAGGCTTACAAGACGGTAAAAAATACTACACCCTCAACTTTACGAAATTCTAGGTCCGCTTTCACCACTAGATACGGCAAAATTTGTGGAGGTTCTGTACGTTAACAAGGCTGTAACAAGTGGCTTAGAAGTTACATTCCTTCCACAGTTGGGTGGTAATTAAAGTGAAGTGGGTTGTTTGACATAGGAGAGTTCTTTTTGGACATTTGTCTATCAAAAATATTTTTAAGCTGTTTTGTACATGGTATTTAATACGTTGGTCTGTGCAAACTAGCCATTCTCTAGCTGGGGACATATTTTCAATCGTAGAAAATCCGCATGCCCTCTCCCGGGCAGCGTTGAGACTGAATAAACCCAAAATAGAAAACACACGATTTACTGTGCAACATGACTACCTAGAAATAAGTATTTTATCCATATTTGTATCATTTTGAATTTATGTGCGTCAAGTGAATTAACCATCTAGTCTCTGGGTATAAACACATCATTATAGCTAGAAAGACTCTCAAAATAAAAGAGTGTTGATTCTATATTAAAGGTCATATAATCTAAACAAATACTAATGCGAAAAGTTAAATCCACCACTCAGTGTGTGATTTCTTGTTTATATAATTTAAAGTTGAAGGTAGCTTGAATGATGCTAACGGATGCGAATTTTTAAGACGCCAAACGTTGAAGCACATCCAGTTTTGTGAAAATGCCCTAAGTAGGGTTCTGATACATTAAATCGTAGATACTCTCAGAATTTTTCCTCTTCGTAAGCAAGTCCTGGGCAAACACAAATGTTATCTAAAACACTTGATCCGATTTTGTTAATTACGATTCTGTTTTTATCCCGTTAGCCTTTTCTCTTGACTAAACTACACATGCAGATTCCACAAAAACTACTGTGCATGTTTCTTAAATCTTTAAATCGGTTTATGAATCACCCAGACAGGAAGAGAAGTTTAAATCAATTAGGCCTTGTGAAGCTGACCACATATCAATTAAAAACCACCGATCGGACACATTTGGCCGCCTTCACTATATGTAAAGCGCTATCTCTCAGACTGCAAGATTCTTGCGTCGACCGATGATTTTAGCAAACGTATTTGCTGGAATGTGAAGTAACAGTGACCGCATGATCTTCACTTCGGAATGGCCAGGCCTTGTTACTTCATTACAAAAAATAACACGACACCTGTGCATGTAAAAGGTTACATGTGAGTTCCACCAACTCTGGTAATATATGTCGGCAACCGGGCCTACCCTACCCATAAATGAACTTCTCCATCAGTGTTGGGATCCATTAACATATGATAACTACTTTTGTGATTTTAACCAGGGCAAATAATGGATGTCTAGGGAATAAATGAGTGAAAAAATTGAAGCTTACAAAACACAATGTGTCGTAGGTAGGTTTGTAGGGTTTATGTTGACGTCATACGTATCTGAACAGCCTACCTATCATCCTGGAGCTTCTGCCCTCTTAGACACATAACTGGGGAATTTTCCACTCTTTTTTCAACTGTTATCAGCAATGTATATCGAGAGTGCAACTGCGATATGCATTGAAATGCGTTACCAGGGCTTGAATAGCGTACATGCAGAACACATGAATTAAGCTGGGATAATCAAAGTTAATTTCTTTCCCATCTAGTATGGTGGCTTATTCGAAGACTAATTCGACGGCGTTTTTTGAAAAAATGGACTACTATCTGATGGTTTCAATTACAGCAGTTAAAACCATGTTTTGGGCCATGTGCTGTGATTTTTGATCATAGGTTTTGAAAACAATCGCAAAGAATATCGCAAACCTATGTTAAGTTCTTCAGTATCACAAACATTTACGTGACAGTTGGGTCGTTCCATCGGAATGTTTGAGTGAAAAACAGTTTGTAATCAGTTATTTCTGGGATACCTGAGAAGTATCGGTGAGAGAATTTGACATTTAGACCAGCTTTGCAAGATTCCACGTAAGTACATTGATGCCTCGGAGAAAGTTTTGGTGTGCACTTATCCTGATTGTCGAATACGCCATTCAAAAATGTCATTTCACCAATTTGGCTTCCTTCCTCCCGCCAATCAAAATCTCAAGTCGGACAAAGTGGCCGAAACTGCGCTCTACTTTCTTCAAGGACTAGGAATCGGTAAGTACTAGTGTGTATTTAGACATAATATGCGCATCAGGTAGCTCTCGTTGTAATACTGGTAGGATTGCACTCTTGGACTTGTGTTTCATAGTCTGTTTTATAGAATCATCACAAGTATGCTTCATTTTCATTTTTTTGGTAACGCGATGAACTAGTTACCTGTGAGACCACAAAGTTCCAAATTGCAAGTTTCAGAAGAAAGTTTGTACACATTAATAAGAGAACCATGAAAATACGGTTCAAGGGAGACTCATGGCCGCTTGATCGTTAGTATCCAGCTGAAAAAAACCTGCGCATGCCAGATGTCTTTTACTTCAAATAGCTATCTTCCTCATGTGTAAACGCTTCACACGATGATGCGTAAAGTTAGTGAGCCACATTTAGAGCAACGGGATTAATATCCCCGTAATCCTTATCCTCGTAATCCTTATTGGGCCCAACCAGGGCGAGTGATTGACCCAAAGAAGGTCCCTAGAGGTTATTTGTATCGTCTACAAAGAATGATGTTCCAGTCATGATGACGCTTATCCTCTTTCCCCTAAGATAGCATGCAAATTTAGAGATATATTTTGGACAATGCTACTAATCTGATGGATGCTCCTCAGATTGAAAGCATCTTGTTGGGTAAAAAATAAGCTAGTTTTAATAGATACTAATCCATTTTTACTTTTACGCAGAAAGCTCGGACTCATTTAACAGACACTCCTTGGACTCAAGTTAGATTCATCTCCAACCGTTCCGGCAAATTAATGCATTATCACTGATTGAGTGGCTTTACGCCTGCCCATTTTTCAAAATTCTTCTGCGTGTATAATGTTAATGAAAATGCAGAATCAACCGCATACGTTAGAATTACATAGGGGGAAATAAGGAAGACTGTCGCAAGTCATCGACAAAAAGAAACAGTAATATATTCTGGAAGTTGACATATAACTAGCCTTGCAAATAGTGTAGGTGTTCAGGAGAAAGTCCAGAACCACGTTAATCTAATAAATGCCTATAGCAAATAAAGAGCAATCCGGGGAAAATACGTCCCGGTAAAACAGTGTACTTTAACGTCTTCAATATCGCACAAAATGAGAAAACCGGCCTTTATGAAGTGCGTTTAGCGAAGAAGCATAGTAGACCATGTTTTCTGATCAAGCTCTTCTGGAAACGACAAAGCTACAATGTTCTGAAGTGCATGCTAAATTGGATTAGATGACACCAGGGGTGGGAATTGGAAACGAATTGCCATAGAAAAGATTGGAGACCATTTGTCACTCTCGGTAAGATAAAAAATAACCGAATTTAACTCGCGAAATTCTAGCCATGTCAGAAGTTTTTCAGATGCCACTAAATAAGGCAGAGAGCTGCTTCAAAACCTTTGAAGAGTACAAGCAAGATTTGATAGATTCACTATGCTGAGTATGAGCACAAGTGGCAACCTGAGATACGGAAATGATAATTCCTTTTCTTGGAACTAATTAATTCACAACAGCGGGATGTAGCTCAGTCGATCCTTGCATAAACTGTTTGAACTAAAAAATCTAAGTCCCACTACCTTCGGATATACATTGACATTGATCAATCTTGAGACCACCTTATAACTTAATTATTTCTGTCCTGTAGTTTCCACTAGTCTTTTTTACTTGCTGCATGCGTATACCTATGCCAGATCAACAGTGGCGCAACCTATATAATGCCGCAACGAGCTTGGCTATTTCGATCGCCTGAAGAAGCGATTACGTGAAGTGGTCAGGCGGGAGAATTCAATAACTAACGTACAGACTCATGAGAGTCATTCTTTCATCCATCGCACTTTGTCAGGGAAGTTGGAAGTGCAGTTGTAATTGCAATTGTTCGGCAATTAAAAACATTTCTCGGGCTGTAGCATACTGCATGCCAATCTGCAGCAGCTGGTGAATTTCTCGGGAGCAAATCGGTGGCTGAAAACTACAGTTATTGGGTAAGCGCGGGTTGCAGCAAGTGGGTGGAAAGAAATCAGAAACGTTTGATTTTTGGTACTAGCCTCTGGATTATGGAAGAATCCACTATATATCGGCAGATTGAGTTTGCTTGTTTAACTGCACCAAGTAAATCGTGGACAGTGAGGCACAGATTATTTGAAAAATACCAGGTCCTCTACAAGACGGCTTATCTAGACATCTTACGTATCGCCTAAGTTTCTACTGCCATTTGAAGTTCTGATTTACATTCCAGAGTACGGGTTTTCACAATCAGACTTTTCTTCTGAAGTCGATTGAGAAGTGATTACAAAAATTTCGGTTTATTTTATACGTATTGCGTGCTAAAATACTGAAATCCAAATAAAAATTGCATCTACGTTACGGTTCTCGTAACCAATCAGTAAAAAATCACCGCGCATTGTGTTATAACCCATTGGAGACACATCGGAGCCTTTACACTGGATTACTGCATTGTCCCATTACACTTGCAACCATTTTTTTATGAATCAGTGGTGTTTTGTTTAGTTGCGTCAAACTGTTAGACTATATATAGGGCCGAAATACATTGCTGAGGTTCGACGGTGAAACTTGCACTTGTCAAAGTTTCGTCAAATGTGACACGTCAGTCTTCTCCATTTTTGAACTAAATCCCTCAGAATCTCAACTTCCTGTGACTTTTCCGCCCATTGGTCACTTGAAAGATTTGAGGAAACGTTAAGGAAAATGTGACTAGCCTATCTCTCTGAGACGTGAAGGACACAAAAAACGTGCAATATTTTAATCCCACCGGGATGAAGTCTCCTGTAGCTTTAGAAAAAATCATTCCACAATTTTGAGCTTGATCCGTTACGAAAGCGTAAGCTGTGGGTAGGTTTTATTTTTTTTTCGAATCGTGGGGCTAACAAACATCCGCCTCACAGAGAGCGGAACAGAACGATATAAAATTAACGATAACAAACCCATACACATTGGTGCCTTGAATTCGTTCGCTGGGACAGTAAACAAATACCTTTTGCGGAACAACGATTTTTTGGTCGAGTTTTAAGAAAAATTTCTCCAAATGAATTGCAATGGATCATTGAATGCTATGGTGCGTATTTATGAATGACTTGCTATAAATTGGAGATTCTTCTATCCACATACACAAAGCTCGTTACACTCTGAGTCATTTGAGATTATTAGGCGTTACCCCGATCTGTCATTATAATACTGACAACTCGACCGTACGATTCATTTAAAGTGAAACTTGTCACATTTGAACACCAAAAAGGACAGAAAGCGTTGTATTGTGGGAGGCTTTATTACTAGTTGTGTTTTATGTATTACCAGTCTTATTTTGTAGTCTGATTATGAATCCTCTGTACCAGTCTCTCGATTGCCGGTGTTAGTCTATACGGAGTTTATATATATATATATATATATATATATATATGCATGACAAACTTCAGTCGTTAGGTATTCCAAATAAACACTCACGAGCTTTGTATGTCACGTCATTGGAAGCTATTTTCTTTCTTGCTTGGTGGTATGAATGCCCCGGGAATGTTGGTCAGAAACGTTGTTCACAACGTCTAAAAATTACTGGAGAAATCATTTCAACTACCGATTTCTCATACCAGCTGATAAGCACGGTACATTGACTATTTAAGACCCCCCCATCTGTTTTATGATTTTCTTCAAAAGTAACCTTTGTGAAATCCGCTCCAAGAAAAATGTCCGGTGATGGTGCTGCTGGGAGGCTCTCTTGGACTGGCTCTCCCGAGAAGAGAACATGCGAAGAACTCAAGAACTTGGATTTGACTACTGATCATTTAACATGTTCAGGGGATATCTGCCGGAAACAGTCGGATGGAAGCGAAACTTCCCCAAAACGTTTGCCCCCTCGGTACTTTTCGCGACAACTTTCGATGGCTGAACTAGACTTACCTCGAGGACCGGGAGCTCTGATTACTGGCCGAGCAATACCACCATCATGCTGTCCCAGAAATCCATCAATGGATTCACACAGAAGACCGTCCGTTGAACATTCGCAACACTAGCTCTAAAAAAGCCAAAATGTTCAGGATTTTGAAGACCCTTCACTATGCTGACAGATAATTATCATGAAAGAGCGAAGCTTGCATCTCTTGTGGACATATTTCGGTTGAATGAACAAACTGTTTGTGAGAACTCAACGTTTAACCTTACTCCACGTGATATTCCTGATGTTGGAATAACCCCGCAGTTACCCTTGTATGTCACTATATATCTTCTGTTTTGATGAAGATAAGAGCTGTTATTTAATTGCTTCTGAATAATGTCTATCCTCACATTGCTCCTAGACTAGAGTTAGTGTATTCTTCATCATCAATCAAATTCGCTGACCTGTTTTGTTAACGTGTTAACTTAGTAGTCAATCCCGTTCATTCACTGTGTATTGCGATCCTATCAACATTTTCTTGTGGTGTGTTCATCGAAAAGTTGCCATGACTTTTTCACTTCCGATTAAATATTTTTAATCTCTTATTCATTTTCGGAATCCTTTCTGTGGCCTGTTTCATGTCGTAAAGCTAAAACGTCTTAAGAGAGGGCTACGGTTTGGTTGTAGCGACCTTAGCAGGCCTCGAGCCTGGATTTGGATAATCCACCGTTGCTGCTGTGAATTTCTTAAATGCTTTGCTATTTCTACGGGTGAACAAAGCAAACTATTCATCTTAGTTTCTTTGATGCGCAAAATAAAGACACAATAAGGTCATTTCTAGTATTTGATTGATTTATCTAAGGGTTATATGATGGAATTTCTTGACAATTCAATGATATGTTTCAACAAATGCACAATTCTGTTGTCATGGGCGGGTCGTCAGGTGCATAAATGACGTAAGAACGACCACTGTGTAAAGTTAGAGATAGAACTCTTGTACATTTTTATTGGAAGTAACGTTTTCATGGCTAGACTGTTCAAAATGGCGCGTTAAAAGACTGGCTAAACGAGCTTAACAAATGCTAACAAGTACGGAAAAAGTAGTTATTTTGTTGTTCTAGTTTAATCGGTAACTAGACTGTAGACATAACGTGGCATTAAGGTAGTGTGCACAGGCGCTAGAACAGCTGAACTTATCAGTTCTGATTATCATGTACACAATAGTGGATTTCTTTGAGATCGTCTTCAGGCCTACTTAAGAAACCTAACAAAGCGCTTCCGACATATATTCGGCGTTTCATTCAGGGCGGGTTCTACGTTATTTGTGAGAAATAATCCGAATCATCCGACGAGTATGCTGTGAGAATCATCCAAAAGACGGTATATCAAGTCGCCAGCACAAATTACCGACGTGTTGAGGGGTACTTGCATGTGCAAACTGCTCTTTCTGAGTTATTTGCAGCTTCAAGATAAGGCGTGCAGCTCTAAGTAGAGTAATTTCCGACTCACACTAAGGGTCACTGAAAGTTTCTAAACGCGATGTGTTGCATAGTAATAGATTTAATATCGCCACTTCTGGTCGATACAGATCAAGGGACCATACGACCAGAAGCGAGCGATTCATAGGTGCGAAACATGGTGAATTGGAAACTGCGGTAAACGCATGGGAATGGTTTGTGTCACGAAGGAATGACCAGCGTCGATAGTCGTCACGACAGATGACCATGAAAGGATCAGTACGTGTATGGTCGTTTTCTGAGTGCACAGACTTGCATGGGCGAATCTCGATTGTCTTAAAGGTGGCCGGTCCTTATTATTAAGTGGATCTAGGTAGGTGGATATGGATTATGTACAGATTTTGGGAAGATTTTTTTAAAAATTAATCACATGACCTGCACCATCCAAGTGAGTAACCAATGCCTGGCTGTCTGGGCTAAACAATTAGAGGCGGTTTACTAAATTGATGTCCTAACACTCAAAGAAAGCTGCCGGTCCAGGCTAAAATCAGGACAGTCTATTTTTTCACCTGATTTTACATAGAAAAATACATGCCGCGCATGATGCGGCAGTGATGCAAGAGTATGAAGAAGCATAATACTTACGGTTGACACCCGAATTAAAGAATCTTATCACTGTCGCAGTGGTTCCTCACTTAGCCGACACAAGTCCTGTGAACAACTCCAAAAAGGATTTTCAAATATAGTGCCCGGTGACTACCTACATACCAATAGTGAGAAGTGAACAGCCTTCGTACTTTGAAGCTTATGCTGTAGTTTATGCTAGTTTTACTTCCACGTTTCACCCATTTTTAGTTATTTTACTACCTCAACCTGTATCGATTATGAGAGATCACGAAAGCAGCAACATTTTTCAATGTCGATCCTTCATCGAGGTTCTGATGATAGTTCATTGAATGGAGATGAAACATAATATTTAGCCACCGGTAATCCTAAGAATAATCTCCCTGCAACAGCCGAACTAGGAAATAAGTCCGTCAGGGGTCAGACCATCTGGTTTGTCGTGATGGTGTGTTTTGTCTACAAAGGGTTTAAAAGTCTAAAAGATCAGAAAATACCTTGTGAGGATATCTATCTTATGAATTCCTAGTGCAAAAAACGGTGGACGGCGACGAGTGTCAAGGGAACGTTCTAAGCCTGTGGTTCGATCCGATGATAGCAATAAATATGTATAAGTACACTACAAATAGGGCCGGTGTATTGGCTTGTTTTTTATAAAATTGCGAACCGATTCTTGTTGTTTTGCTCACTTAGCAATGTGCACAGTCTTAATTTTGATTCTGTAGTCAACCTGAAAAAAGTCGCTACAAATCTACTGCGAATGCTCTGAAATATAAGCTGAATTCCATGCACAGTTATGAGACTGGATGAGTGCAAATGTGTAAAAAAATACCTCACTTTGTAAGACTTTGATTTATAGTTCGTCAAGTAAGTGTATTCCTCACACTTAGGTTGAATGATTTCATCCAGTAAGCTGTCGGTGTGATGTGCAAAGCCAAGTTAATTGTATGATTTTTGGTCTTTGTCTTCAAATATTGGTACCCTACTCAGATTTTAAATGTTCTAACTTATCATGCCTAGTCTAAGCCTCACAATGCAATTTGTGCTTGAGTAGAGTGGTCACATACAACTCTGCATCAAGTGCGAGATTGACGTTCATAAGCACATTACATGGTTTCTGTCAGCCTAGCATTCTTATGTCAGCGTCTTACACCGGTTAACTTGTCATGAAATTATACTGCAAACGACTGGCATTTATCGTGCTTTTTTGATATGTTCTCCAATCATACTATTGAACAACCCCACAGCAAATAGTGCTTTGCAGAATTAATTAAATCGCGTGACGGGCGTATTGTGTATAGCCTTCTAGTTGTGTAGACTGGCTGTCTATTTTACTCTGACAAGAGAACGGATGAAAGAGTACACGCACCAATATAAGACGTGATGCACTCATTTATTGCTATTCCGCACCACATGAATTGGCCAAAATTAGGAAATAATTTCCGCCAATAGAACCACGATTGTTCGCTTCCGCAGCAGCCTCAAAAGCATTTCTAATACTGTTACCTTTTCCGCAAGAAATTTGATTAAGCAAAAATTTAAAAACCGATCATACAATCAAAGTATTATAACAAAATTTATGGTACTCACTACCCAACTAAATAGTGTGGGTTACAAACCATTTTGGTACATCAATCATACTGAGAAGTTAATTTTTGTAGACAAAAGTTGACTCAATGTAAATAGAGGAAGTGACTTTCTCATCACTTTCAAAAGATACGGAAATTCGACATGCCTGCTGGGTTGGCTCATAATCATCACGTTTCTCACAAGTCGTGTGCCTCAACCTTGCGAGATCGTTAACTATGCACATAGGAGGAATTGCTAGTCCTACACGAAAAGAAAAACCATCAGTAATGTTTAGTGGCGCCCGGGACTGAAGGAAGCATATATATCTAAATCCTAACAAATTGCATTATTTATTTTGCTTGTGAGATTACTGAATAAATTACTAGCATCATGATAGCACGAAACATCGTCTACTATGAGATTGTGGAACTGATTTTTGCATCGCACTTTGCTCTGTGTTCATAGCAAGACTGTAACGGATCTCACTGGTGATTTGTTCAAAGAAAGTGAGAAGGTAAGGAAAGCACACGAATCTGCTACGTCAAACTTTACACAATACCGAGATACCCAAACAACTTTGGGCTAATTTTACACTCTGGACAGTCTGCATTGGCGAATTTAAGCATTAGAATTTGCCGCACAAATTTCTGAAGTCGTAATCTCTTGATGGGAATTCCCTAACAGGAATCAATGTGCAGTTTGCTACCTTGTCACTTTTCAAATGGCTACGACATAACGAGTCACTGCAACTTACGTGTGTTTTAATAACAAACCAAATAGTCAGTGATTTTGTGATGACATTTCTTTAGCTCAGTAACAAGTCCTGAGAAAAAATTGTTCATCAAATTACCCATCAATTTTGGGTGGTTGGTGGATTCATAAAATTCGTATTTGTATACCTGATATCAACAGCTTTTCTACACTGGCAAAGCAAATTGCAGTCATGGCTACGTTCTGTCTGATGTAAACATCTGATGAAAGGAATGGAGTAAAATCAATAGTAGCAAGAGAAATTTCAACTTGAATAGTTGTTTCGGTGCTTGCAAGTTAAACTGGCCGATCGTATTAGATGCGTTCACAGTCCGCCCCATCCCAATTGGAATAAGCCAGGAATTCAGTTAGATCAACCACATCATGTTTGGACATCACCCACTTGCTTCATCATGTTGACATCAGGCTCATTAGTGTGTGTGGAGAAGTCGTTTTGTGACTATCTTTTCTAGTAGTAGTGACTCTTCCCAAAACCCACTGTGTGACTTTAGTCTGCAATTCTGCAGGCTGAGGACTGGTCTTTTAGTACAACCTCTTTGATCATAAAAACTTCCGAATCTTTCACATTCTCATCCGTTGGCACTCTGATAGCTGCTTGATGCTTGATCCCCCCGGGTCTAGCTTGAAGTTTACCCCGAGTGATCACATTGAGTCAGCACACAAAGGACCAATCCAGCTCCCAAAATTAGTGAAGCATTTATGCACGCTTCCAGAATATACACACAGAAAGTTAGTAACTAAAAATGGCATTTACAAGTAGCGCAAAATGCATGCTAAATTGTACTGCATTAACCATATCCCCCACATAAATCAATTTCCAAAGGCTTGGGAGAAAGCTGGGAAGAGTTTTAACAAACAATTTTTGAAAGGGTGCTCAAAATTTGAGTGCTTATACAGGCTTTTCAGCGATTGCCTGAATTTGTGATTATATCAGTTAGATGGAGAATGACCTCGAGTATTTTTGTGGTCGCAAATGACTTTCTGGCTTTCACAATACACAGCGGAGTTGGACTTTTGTTGTTTATTGCAAATCTATCAACGTCCTTACGTTTCTCTGTAAATGGTGCACGATAACCCTTTTGAACACTTCTAAGATTTGATTAAGCTTCGTTAGATATGAGTTCAGTTTCTGCTATTGCGGGGTAAACGGATCTTATAAGGGCGTAGTGAATTCGATGTAATATCCTCCTACCAGTTGTCCGAAATGATATATTTACCGGCCTCTTTTACTCAACAAGCTTGACAAAGAATTTCAAAGCCCATTGTGGTCCGTATACTTTTTAAGCCTCTCGATATTCGAGACTAATACTAAGGTACTTCCAATGAACTCAGTACCCAAAACACTGTAGACACTGGCTCACTTAGTGAACAAAAATTATATATTTTTACA